TTTCAATACATTCCTATGTATGGTTCTTTGGGTAAAGCTGATATCTTTTATTAGACCAACTCAAATAGTTGAAAAAAATTCTTCTTTGTAAGCTTTTGGGCACAGATGCCCTTCGTCAGGCTGAGGAAGTGTCTGCAGTTGGCATGTGCTCTTCCTGGATGGAATGGTCTGCATGCAAGAAAGCCAGTCAGTGACACTGTAAATTAAGGAATCAATGGGCTATGTACAGCACTTGAAAGAGAATCAGAAATTTTTTTAAAGTTCAAGTTTCAGTAAAAAGATTGCCATTTTTTTTTGCAAAAATTCATATACATTTTCCCAGCTCCAACCATCCCTTCTAGCTTCAGTTGTGAAATGCAGTTAGCACTTGTACAACCATTTTCACCTACAAATACTTTAAGCATGTTCAGCTCACTATAAAATTAGCAGAAACGTTCAGGACAAGGAGTCTGATTTTTTACCATCAGTTGTGCCATAGATTTCCTGTGTGATCTTGGCTTCTCCTCTGTAAATTGGGGATAATACTTCCCCATATTGCAAGGCCTTATTTTTTTATATTTTTTTTTAGGAGGAAATCACTGCTGCTCAAGAAAACCCTTGGAATCAGTTGCAAAGGGCTGTAGAAGGCTAACGGATTACAATACTTTTTTGGACTCTACAAATTCATTAGCTAACAACTGGAGATCCAGCACAGTTTAAAGTCATTTTCAGTGCATGTTCCAGGTCAGACACAGAAAGGTAAGCATCAGTGTTTGTACAAATGGATTCTCAGATCAATCTGATGTGCTAAGCTGTCATTTGTTCTCCCTCAGCATCTTTGCAAGACAGGTCTAATAGCTGTCAAGAACTGGAGTGAGCTACTGACCCAGTTTAACCAGGTTTACATGGGCAGCGTGATTTACATTACTAGGTTTAACCAGGTTTACATTACTAACTGCATGATTTAGATTGCATGTTAATTCTGGGGCGTGTGAACTATTCAATTTGGGCTTGGTTTGCACACCCCATAATTAACATGCAACCTGAATCACGTACCTATTGTGCCCAGTGTCCTGTATTGTCTTCCAGCTCTACCAAGTTACACACCAATTCTAACTTGAATATTTTTCTCAATAAAGCTGTTACAGGCCTGCTTCAAAACAGCTGTCTGTCTTGTTACACAAAAGTGATCACAGGCTGTAGCCATCATACTTATGGAAAGGAAACTCGGAAAAAGAAGAGGAGGCGGCCAGGAATTCTGCGAACAGAACAGATGGTCTTGGGGCTTTTCTTTGTGAACCCATTGGGCTCAGTCAGAGGTAAAGCATCAGTTTGTGAAAATGGCTGGTGATTTATTCAAAATAGCCATCTCTGTGAAAGGCAGCCTTAACTGAGCGTTGCCGGTGGCAGTGACGTATTAAGAAGCATCTGAGGTTGTGTAGTCAATAGTCTTTTCCCCCTTAACATTTCTTATCATGGCTACCACTAACTAAACTACATTAGTGGAGAGCACTACTGTAGATAAGACATTGGAGCCTGCCATTGTTTTAACTTCTGTATGGTCTATATCTAGGCTAATAGCCTCCGAGTGCAGCATACAGCATCAAGCAAACACAATGGCTCACGTACTGATACATGACTGCTCAGGAAGTGAATGACTTATTTCCTGCATGTGGCCCAGTAGTTAGTAGCCACTGGGGTCAGCCGTTGTTACAGATAATCGGCCAAATCCCACTGCATTCATATAGCTCATTAATATCAATAGAGCTGCATCAGTGTGCATGATCTGAGGAGTCCATAGAAAAATTGCCTTAGGTTAGTATGGGAAGATGCATCTGGGTTTTCCTGGACATGTCAACTTTTTTGGCCCCCTGTCTTCGTGTCCAAGCGGGATTTTAAAAAGTGTGTAAACGTCCAGGTTTTTGCTCTGCCTCTGCTTTTCCTGGGCAGGAGCAGCTTGGATGCTTGGGGCTGGGAGCGGCGGGCAAGGTGATTGGCTGTTGGGGGTCACGTGCTGTGCACACGGGCTCTGTGCATGGAGCTGCATGTACAGCAGGGCTGGGGGAGATGGGGGGCTCTGGGTTGGGAGTGAGGGGCATTCGCAGGGCTGTGGAGCAGGGGCTGCAGGTTGGGAGTGAGGGGCACCAGCAGGGCTAGGGGCATGGGGGGGCTGTGGGTCAGGAATGAGGGGCACCAGCAGGGTTGAGGTACAGGGGGCTGCAGACAGGGCCGTCCTTTGGGAGGGCAAATCGGGGCAACTGCCCCAGGCCCCGTGCTTTGGGGGACGGCACAGAGCTGGGCGGGAGCCAGGCAGAGCAGCCACAGCCCCGTCCCTTGCAGTGTTAAAGGGGCCTCACACAGGCTGATTTGCCCTGGGCTCTGCACCCCCCTATGGTCATCTCTGGTTACGGGTCGGGAGTGAGGGCACTGGCAGAGCTGGGGGACTGGGGCATCCGAGTGAGGGGCAGAGGCAGGGCACAGGCATATCACTGGCCCACCACAATCATACACCTCTCCCCTTCTTCCCCGCCACCGGTGTCCTCTTTTTTGATCCTGGAAATGTGCTAACCCCAGGGAAGATCAGCTCTTCCCATGATTCACTCAACAGCCAGGTTCTTAAAAGAAAATCACTCATGGAAGGCAAAGGATGTTCAGTCAGGGACCTTTTAATTCAGCACAGGCCTTTCTTTCTTCTGTTGTTGGCAGTGGTTCCAAAGAAAAGCCTTGCGCAGTGCCACTGCTTCGGCCAACACTTCCCTAGGAGCAAATTCTAGTCTCAGGAAATCACCAGAAAGTCTAACATTGATTTCGATGCTATAAGACTGTGATCTTTAAAGGCAAATCAAGTAGTGAGAGCAGGCGTGGCAGCAATGTTAAAACCAGCAGTGGTGCAGAAACTAATTTAACTGCTGACTGGGGTGAATATTAGGTTGTTCAGAAATCATCCGTTATCTCCTGCAACTTAAAAATACTTTTGCAGCTCCCTAATGTTATCCAGTCTGTTTCCTGTGAAAACATTCTTTTGAAGTTCAATATGGGAAGCATGGCTGCTTCTTGACTGCTAGATAAGGCACAGAGGCATGACAACAATAAAGGAATGAAACTTTAATCTTTGCCAGTTCCAAAATGGAAACATCATGTGAGCATGAATTAGGCAAGATTATGATTTATCCCATAAAGTGGAATGACAATCCAAAATCTCAAGTCATCTGTAGGGAAACCCTTCAGTCATTTTTGGCTCTTTGTGCCCAGTTATAACTGTCAGTATCCAGATCATCAGCTAACTTGATTCTTCCCGTTACCAGCGTGAGGTGAGTTTTAGATGCTTGTCCTGTGGTGGGCTCAGCAGTCCCAGAACAGAAAGCTGTCAGGTCTTTTCATGCGCAGCTCCAAAACTGTACGAAAAAGCCACTTTACCCAATCTCCACAGCTGCTGTCCTCTGCAAGCCAGGTCCCATGATGGGAAGTTCTCAGGTCACCATCTCGCTCCATTTACTTTTCTTTCCAGACGCACATGTATTTTGTGCAATACAGGCATGCACTGAGCCCTGTAAAAAAAAAAAATGGGCAAAGTTAACATCCAATGGAACCAAGGACTCTGTATTGCTTCTGGGTTAGCCAGTGATTACTCCCCTGTCTCCTTATTATGCCACATTTAGTTCATTATAAGAGGGTGCATCTTCCTTCTGCTAAATGCGTCTGCAGTCGCATAAGCATATGGGGAGTGTAAGGTTTGTTATTTTTGATATGTGTCATGATGCGTTTCTAGAAATGCTGTATTGCTAATCATCCTTGGAGTGTCTCTACACCTCAAGCAACGGAGGAACTGACTGCCTCACCAACATTAATGAATGCAGACTGATAAGACTTGTGTGAGTTAGGCATGTAGGAGTATCCCCAAAGATACAGCAAGGAGTACAGTGCAGAGGGCTTCTCTTGGGCCGGGGGTGGTGTGCTAGTCAGGGCAGGGAATTGTAATTGGGCAATGGACCTATACTGTACAGGACTGCAGTGAGACTGTTCTCTCCCTTTGCGACCCACTGGAAGCTAAAGTCTTTGGTAGAGCGGCCCAGTGGTCTGACCTGCCCAAGACCCTTCAGCAGGAAGGTGGGGAGACCATGGATACAAGGTAGTGCTGTGCAGAGATGTGTGTGCTAGCTCCTCAGCCAGAAGCCTTGTAACCTTGTTCACATGCACCTGGTCTAATAAACGTTTGCAGAGGCAGCATATGAACACGAATACTCTGATCCTGATTCAAGAGTTAATGCACAGATAGTCCAAGTACCTCTGCATAGCACTACCTTGTACTATATAGACATACCCCTGAGTACCTGGACACCAGCTCCAAGTTCATGGTGCTTCCCATGCTCTGAGACCCCATCCAGTCTGCCTTTACCCGGCTAGCTAACAAGCTATGTAAGTCATTTCCTATGTGCCTCTGAATTTCGGGATTCCCCTCCCCCCCGCTATCTCCAAGGTGGTTGCTTGCTTTCCTAGTGACCCGCAATAAGGCTGAAAAGACAGATATGGAGGCTTTCACATGCTGTCCAGCTTGTAAATAAAAACCAGGTGGTGGCGTCAGGCAGCGCTGGACTCCGTCTCACATGCTTTTTCACCAAGCTTGGCCTGTCTAACAGCTTGGCGTGTCGTTAGGTGATTGATGTCCTGTTTATTGCAGGGCAGAAGTGGACCGGGGAGGCGTCCGAGACATTAGAGCCAGGCTTGAAACAGCTGCCTCTTCCTCCAGCTGTGAATTCCTGCAGGGGAATTCCTCGCTGCCGTAACATTTCGGAGTCAGCGTTGCAGCTGCACGGCACCTTTGTGACCCTTCTTGAACAGTATCTTTGCCTTCTACTTTTGACCCTTTCCTCCCCTTGCGCAAGGGCCCTGGTGCCAAAGGGACCTCTATGTAGTGCTGCAGTGGCCAGAAGAGCCATTGTAGCATAAATGCAAACCACCACTAATACCACCTTGCTGAGAAACAAGGCCTGCTCCTTCAGTCCTACCACACTGGCCCATTGCTGCTGTCAGGCTCCCCCAAGCTCACTGGGAACACACGCAAGACCCCACTTTTCCCCCCACGAACTGAACAGGCTGTCAGACTGCCAGGTCGAGCGTGTGGCTGGCAGGAGCAAGTGAGTGGGGCTTGTTTCTCCGTGGCTTTTCTGGGCTTGATGGGAAGACCCTATAGACTTGCTCTAAGGCAGGGGTGGGTAAAATGCAGCCTGCGGACCAGATGTGGCCCACCAGGCCATTCCATCCAGCCCACGGGACCCCTAAAAAATTTAGAAAATTAATATATATCTGCCCCTGCCTGTCTGTCATGGGGCCCTCAATGGCTTGCCAAAACTCAGTAAGTGGCCCTCTGCCCAAAATAATTGCCTGCCCCTGCTCTAAGGAGCCCCTACTATAAGCGATGGCAGGGCTAGGCCAGCTGCCAGCAATAGCAGAATGGGGGAGGCCTCTCCACATCAGATCGTCCAGATGGAGAGACAGCTGAGTCCTCGGACTGTCCATCTGAGATCGTGCTCAGATGGATTATTAGAAGATGTCAGCAGAAGAAGGAGCTATGTGACAGGATATCACGAGAGGAAGGTGTATCCTAGGGTCTGACTCCCCCACAGGAAACCGCATCTGGCAGGAAAGCAACACACACAATCTGGGACTGTCTGAAACCTCCCACTCAGTAGTTGTGGCGGTTTCTTGCAGTTGTGAATATCAGGAACTCCCACCTCTAATCTGCTGGGGACCTGCTGCAGCTTTTCAGAGACACCAGCCATTTCTCTAGCTCGGGCCTTTGCCGCAAGCTTCTTCCTCTTGAGCAGCGTTTCAGTCGCTAGGGTATGCAGGGTTCAGCTTCTGCTTTTGAACCTACCACAAAAAATATTGAATTCCCTATACTACACAGCATGAGAAGGGTCACCCTTATGTTCCCAGGTCACACGGATGAGATCCAGAGGTGCAGAAAGACCAAGTCACACACCATGTCAGTCTATGGGAGAAGTGGAAAAGAACCAAAGTCTCCTGACTTTAATGCTGTGCATTATTCACTAAATCATGCTTCCTCTCTGTACAGTTCATTACCGAGCTGATAACAGTTTATATACCTGGAAGAGAATGCTAGCCATGAGTAAAGATTCCAAATTTTGAGAGAGAGATTATTTTATACATCACAGAGCATTGCATCCTGAGAATCTGTCACGGGAGAATACTGGGCAAAAAAGTCTGTCCCTTAAAATTAATCATTCTGACAGCATCCAAAGCAAACAGCTCTGAGATTTTATTAGCACGATTTTGTGTTACTTACAAATTTGCAGCGTAGAGCTGAATGGGAGATAAAGGGAGATAGTGTGAAAAGTCTTGTCCTTTCATTAAACCCCCCCTGTGAAATGTTTGGCTTTCCTTTGCTGAAAACTGAATCTATGCAACTCAAACACTACTGAAAACTGGGGAAAAAACCCATCAATTTTCTCCTGAAAAAAGCACACTGCCCAAAACATTTTTAACGTTTTTATGGAAATCTAATTTTCTATTGAAAATGAATTTCAACCAGCTGCACGACAAAGCATTTCTTAGCAAGCACTTGTCACAGTGGTAAGGAGTCCAGGCTTCGGAAGACTCTTAACTCTGATTAATCCATGGTGAAGTATACAATATACAGAAACAGATCCTTTACCATTATTCAACTCACTGGCCAATAAAGTGACCTAGTGCTGAGTGGCCAATATATCCACCAGCCAAATCAATGGTTCCTTTTGGCAAGTCCCACACCATGCACTACAGCAACAACTGATGTCTGAACCATGCTCCATCCCAAAATATAAACAAAACCATTGATGTGCAGAGGTTAATCAACTCAACTGACTAAGAATGACCACCTTCTGGTCATGATCATCTGACCCCGGGGGTCTTTCCTGCCCACGTGCAGGGGGGCTGGACCCGATGATCTTGTAAGGTCCCTTCCACCCCTGACATCTATGAATCTATGAAACTACCACATACATACCCTTACTAGAGGATTTCTCCAGCTTGCAACGAGGTAGCTCTGACAAGCTATGTAAGCAGAATAAATCCTCTCATCTTTAATCCCTGGCAACAGAAAGCTTCATTCTGTCACACCTACTATCTCCAGTGGCCTACAGACCAACAGGCCTAAAGTGGCTGTGGGCTCAGGGCTCCCACCCTGAAACAGCAGCAGCTTCAGATCAAGCCTGTAGAGCTTTTGGGTTAAATAAATGTTACTGAACTGGCAGCCAACATACACATGCATATTATTATTTGAAACATCTATATTACAGTGTCAGAGCTTAAAACTGAGATGTCAGTATAAGGTTAGAACTTGTGTGATCCCAATCTCCTGTTCAAATCACACAACTCTCTCCAACTAGGAATTGTTTGCTCTATAATAAAAACATTTTAAAAAGCTATCAGCACATACCCTTTCCTGTCTGGATGTTTCTGAAATTTTACATGGAAATATTAGAAGTTGTTACAACAGCAAAGACCTATTAGGTCATTGATGCCATCAATACCAAGGGTAGGATATAATTCATGGTAAAGCATGGGTAAGATATTCAACTGGTTAAAATCATATTCATATGATTTTAATTTAAGCCAAAAGGTCAAGTAACCAAAACAACCAGCTCAAGATATTTTAACCTCGTTTTTGTTGTATCTGTGGCTGAAACAGCACACAATGCAAATACTTTCTCCTTCAATGATTTTTGGGATGGTTCAACGATGACAGAGATGTTACTTCAATTATTTCCATTCACAATGCTTCCCATCGCTACAGTTCTACAAATCCCATTGCTACACTAAAATGTTGCAGTTTCCCTTTACTGCAAATATTCATTACCCATGAATGTGAATCTTTCAAGCTTGTTTAAAAACACAGCTAGAAAAAATGACCGTGTTCTAAAAATGCAAATGCATAAATAGAAGGATGTGGATAAAACCTAATGCTATTTATTATATACAGTGAGTTGTTTGTTTAAATAGGCAGCTGAATCCCCCCCAGATATTGCATTTAATTTTGTAGCCCCAGGATGCACTTATATTACTCTGCCAATAATATATTTTTAATTGCAGGGGTCATCATACTTGACAACCAAAGGGTATGTCTCACAAAATATTACAGGAGAGACAGGGGAAGTGGTTTGGATAAAAATTTGCCCAGAACTCGAACCAAACTTCCATTCAACCGTTTTGAAAAAAACCATGACATTAGAAGACACAGCTCTGTACTCCCTGGTGGGTCATTAACATGTATAGCAAAGGGAAGCTTCAAAAATCTGGGAGGCAGGGAGACAAATCCCTCATCAGTCCTAGTTCCAGCCAAAGCAAGGCAGAAAGTAGCAGATACAGCAAGGATGAATTTTAATTTAAGCCAAAAGGTCAAGTAACCAAAACAACCAGCTCAAGATATTTTAACCTCGTTTTTGTTGTATCTGTGGCTGAAACAGCACACAATGCAAATACTTTCTCCTTCAATGGTTTTTGGGATTGTTCAACAATGATAGAGATGTTACTTCAATTATTTCCATTC